AAAAAAAAAAAAAGAAAGAAAAAAAAAGAAAACAAAAACCCAGAGACACTGAAGTCTAAAAAGTAAAGATGCCTGGACACCAGGCAGAGTGAGTGGGCCCAGGAGGCTAGGTGAAGGCAAGGAGAGAACGTGCTTCTCTCCTTGAGATCAAGGGTTAAAAACAGGTGACGGAAACAGTAATAGCTCACTTCTACCCTACAAGGCACAAAAGGGACTGATTCTGGCCTTGGGCACTAGCAGGAAAAGGGGGGGGCAAGTAGAACAGTGGAGAGAGAGGTATCCATGATCACTCACACCCAAGTGTCCCCCACCACAGAGGGACAGTCAGTGTGGGCTGAAACACAAACCCAGTTGTATATTATTGTTGCAAAAACTACTGAGGTAATAAGAAAGAGACCAGCACAGAGAGCAGCTGCGCTGACCTGAGAAGATGGAATTTAAAGGTAAGTGTCAAGTAGGCACTGGGAGACGCTGTCACAATGAAGGTACACTTACAAAAATAGTGTGTTGATCATTAACTGTAAACTCTAAACAACTGAGCAGCTTAATACAGAAAGCAAAGACCACTATAAATATGAGCTCTAGATTAACACAAACAAGAGACATAACTGTGTGTCTTTTAGATCCTGACAATGCTAGTACATCAAACGATGACAGCAAACAGAGTTCCTACCTCATCAGCTTCTGGAATAATGTGGTCAGAAAGCTACTGGGCAGGTAGGCCCAAGAGAGGGAGCAGGCCCAACAGGATGGGGAGGACTGTCATACACACAGGAACCGTGTACAAAATCAAAGCAGTGATGATAAGGAAAGCTAGAGAGGCTGATCCACGAGAGGAAAAATAGGAAAGGTAGAGAGTTTGATCCATGGGCTGACTGGGAGGCAGACGGCACCATGAGACAGCCTCAGCCTTCCCAGAGCTCCAGAAAGAATCCCAGGCAGCAATGTTCGTTCACATGGTCCCTAGTGCTGGCCACTGAGAGGTCACTAGACCTACAGCACCCTTACAGCAACCCACTGCCCAGCACAGAGACTGTGGCTCCTAAGTGTCCCTTCCCACTAAATGGAGCCTGTACTCCCTGAAGTGACCAACCCAAGCAGGGCAGGAAAGTACAAGAGAACCCAAAGTGTCTTGGGGTTCAGAAAGCAAGGACATACTCAGAGCGGGTGGGTGGTATAAAAAGGACCCAGGCCTGGCCTGAAGCCCCTTCCACAGCCCAGTGGTAATGTCAAAATAGACCATGACAATAAACTATCACCTGTAAAATAAAACGGAACCTGAGCCCACACTAATGGATGAATAAATGACACAAACGGGAGGGAAAGCCAAGGGATAGCGAGAGAGTGGTGAATTAGGACACGGTTCAGCAGCTACCCGGGAATTTGCTCAGGCTCTCTATAGGCGCTCAAACTGGTGGGCAGTGGGATGAAGAACAGGAGAGTCTGACACTCTCCAAGCACCTCAGCACAGGAAAAGATCCAAGTTCAGTCTGTACTGTGTGTTTATCTTGTTTGCACCCTCTGTACTAGAGCTTGGGGCAGTGTGATCACGAGGAAGATGCACGGAACAGGATCCACAAAAAGGAGACAATTTCTTTTTTTTCTCAGTACCGGGGATTGAACTCAGGACCTTGTGCTTGTGAGGCAGGTGCAGCACCACTGAGCTAAATCCTCGACCCAAAGAAGACAATTTCTGAAGACGAGAGAATTAGCTTCTTAATACCAAATACATGAAAAAGCAAAGTGGAAAGTTTTCTTGGGACATGTGCACTGACCCAGACTGCTCAAGGACCTGAGGGTGTTTAGATGGGTGTGAGCCCCACTGCCACCCTGTGTGGACACAGACCAAGGAACAGAAGGCTAGCAACTGGCCAAGGCCCAGAGGTAAGAGAGAGACCCCTTTCTCCAAACTGCAGGAGCCCTGAAAACATTCAGATCCCGGACCACAGGCCAGGAGAATCCTAACCAGTACCCCTGCTTCCCAGAGCACCAGGTGACATGGTATATAGTTGCAAACATGCCATGGGGTAGAGAGATGCTAACAGACAAGTGTCTGAGTTTAAGAAGAATGAGAAGTGGGTAAGGAGTCACAAACATCTCATCTCCAGAGGGTCCAGGAGCCAATGGGCCTGTGGAGATAAGGAAATGCTAGGGACCCAGACCCTGTTGCATAGTTCTGATGGATAACTCATTCTTCTCCCCAGTGCCCACTGATAGGCACACGAAGGGGAGGACAACACTCCAAGAAACTCCAAGAAGCGCCCGTTCCAACAAATTCTTACAGCCACAAACTGAGAAGGCCTCAATTTTAAAACTGTTAACACCACTGCTGGCCATAGCCCCAGTGCTAGGAAGGAGGCTCCCGTCATTGCTTGGACGCAGGGCTGCTGCCCAGAAACAGCAAAGCCAGCTGGCCAAGATTAATGGGAACTGATAAGAAAACCAGGGCAAGCTAGGGATATGCTGGAGGAAAATTAATTTGTATTTGAAATAGGAAAAAAGGTCCAAAGACAAGGGGTGAAGGGAGGGGAAGGGGAAAGGAAAAGAGGGAAAGGAAAAACCATGAGAAAAAAAAAAAAAAAAGGAAATGAAATCTATGTAAATAGGGAAGGGCGGAGGGGGTGAAAGGTGCACAGGTAATGGGGAAAAAAAAAAAAGAACCAAGATACATCACGTACAGGTACAGACACCTAATGATAAATGTAAACGAACTGTATACCTAAAATGTGCCAATAAAAGAACTTAAAAAAAAAAAAACAAAAAAGAAAATTAATTTGTTAGGAAACCTGGTAGATTTATTCAGAATAGAAAACCAACAAAACTTTTCAATAGAGAATGGAAAAAATGGGTGACTTGACCACTTAAGACTTTAAAACACATCATAAAGCAACAGCAGGTACACAGTGTGGCACTGACTAGAAGGGACTTGTAGCCCACCGTGACTGAGCCTAGAAATGAGCCCTGGAACCAGGCATGTGTCCTCAAATCAGCAGGGAAATGACCAGCTGGTCACATAAGCACTGTTGGAGGCTGAGGCAGGAGAATCACTGCAAGTTCAAAGCTAGCCTGGGCTATATAGTAAGTTCAAGGCCACCATTAACTACACAGTGAGACCCTGTCTCAAAAACAAACACACCAAAACCCACCAACAACAAAAGCACTGTTGGGACAACTAGTATCTATCTAATCACTTGCAAATTCCAGATGGACTACAGAGCTGTGTTCTTGTTTTTGTTTTTAGACAGAGTCCCACTGTGTAGTTCAGCCTGGCCTTGAACTGACTATGTAGCCTAGGCTGGCCTCCCTCTAACTTGCAGCACTCCTCCTGTCTCAGCCTCCCAAGTGTTGGGATTATAGGGATGTGCCACCACACCTGGCACAGCTGCACTTTTAAAAAACTGTGTAAGTTCCAGAAAAACATAGGATGAAGTTTTTATGACCCTGCAAACAAGAAGGTTCCCTAAGCAAAAACCAGAATCTAGAGGCTGGGGATTTAGCTCAGTGGTTCCACCGCCTGCCTTGCCAGCGCAAAGACCTGAGTTTCCACAAAAAACCAGAATCTAGAAGTTCTAAAAGACTTAGTTCAAAAATATGTTTTTGTGACCAAAGATATACCATTTTAAAAAGAAAACTCCGAGTGACAGAAAAATAGCCATGTGCTGCAGAGCATGAGATAGACACCCACGCTGACAAGAGTGGCAGGCACCTATGACATACAGTAGCCGAGCAGCCATGCACCCTAAGGTAAGATCAGCATCCGGTGGGGAAGGGAGCCACAGAGGAGATGGCTGCTGGGAGAATTGACATGATGGTGTGAGGTGATGGGTGTGTGCCAGGCACAGCAAGGACACCCTGTGTCACATAGCAGCAACAGAAACAGAGCCTAGGGAACACGGGCCTGGTGTCAATACAGGACATGCTAGTCCTATTCTCCTGGAAGCTCTTTCTGAGGCTTCCTCCCTTTAAATTAAAAAGTTTAAAATAAGTAAATGTATTGAGTGAAACACTTTTAAATATACTTTAATTTTTTTTTTTGGTACTGGGATCGAACTCAGGTCCTTGCGCTTGCGCAGCAAGCGGCAAAACCACTGAGCTAAATCCCCAGCCCCTACAACTTTAAATGAGTAGACAAGAAGGTGAGGCTCTCTCTTCTTATAAGAAGTCACCACCTCAAGACTTAGTGCAAGGGAGCCAACCTGATGTGACTCCTTATCTCTGGTGGTCCTAAGGATTGGAAGCTTTGGGGAATGGTGACAAAGCCACCAGAATCCACTGTGACCAGCAAGGATGCTGTCTAGGCAGAGCTGGCCACTGCAGGGAGAAGTCCCCTGGAGACCCATTTGGTGACCATGCTGAGGGGTTCCAGGATCAGCAGGTGGGAAGGAAGGGGCTTGGATAGCATGAGCCCCAAAAGGGCATTGAAACTGCAAGACGATGTCTAGTCTTGGAAGCCAGACATTCTGCCCCTGTTCTGGCCCACTGCCCTGCCATCAGGCAAGGTGGTAGGGAAGAAGCTCTGCCAAGGGGTGAAACGGGGCCCGGGAGAGGGAGGAGGCCACAGCCAAGGTAGAGGCACCCTATGCAGTCTGCAGGACGAGTGATGCCACTCCCTGACTGGCTTCTCTGACAGACTACACGGGTGCCCAGAGCCTCCAGAGAGCGCAAGGACAGGGCTCCAGGAGAAGACAACCTGGCATAGCTGATGGAGGGTCGCCAAGTGCTCCATAAACTGAGGGGAAAGGCTCTGCCACCCAGCCCATGATCCCAGGGCAGCATTTGTGCCCTCAAAGGTCACTAACCTCCAGGGCTGTGGTAGCACTGGTGTCAAAGCCATCACAGACAAGCACAGTGAGGGTGTCACCCACGCCGCGTAGCAGCTGCACTGCCTCCGCGTGCGTCAGGCCCAGGAGGCTCTGCTGGTTCACCTCCAGGAGCCGCAGCCCCACACACAGCCGGCCATCACGCCCAGCCGCCCCTGTGGGGCTCACCTGTGGGCAGAGTGGAATGAGACCCAGTGTCTGGCACCTACCTGCCCACCAGCAAGGCCAGGCCCTCACCTTGGAAATGAAGATGCCTTCGTCTGTGGGGTCACAGGGGTTCCCCGCATGGCCCTTGGCACCCCCCCGGACACTGATGCCCAGCTTCTCCCCTGGAGCCTTCTGGATGCATAGTTCCCGCATGCCTGGGGGTGGTGGGTCCCTTCGCACGAGCAAGGACAACTCTAGGCAGGGCCGGAGCAAGGCACTAACAGCCTCTTGGTGTGTGGCCTCCCGAACATCCTGCCCATTTACTGCCAGGATGCGGTCACCAATCCGCAGGCCACATCGAGCAGCAAGGCCTCGAGGGAGCACCTGTTGGAGAGGATGGTAGCACATAGTGGGCTGGGGCCTCACTCATCTGTACCGAGGGAGGCCTGGTACAGAACCACCCACCAGGCTCATCTACCTTGGAAATGAAAACACCAGGCTCCTGGACACCAAACGGATGGCTGGAGTGGTCAGAGCCCCCAACAATGCTAAGCCCTAGAGGGCCCCCGGCCCTTGGCAGACGGACTTCCTGGGGATAAGAGGAGAGAGTGGAGAAGGTGAGCTGAGGGTGGAGTTAGGTCTTTGGAGTGGAGGGGTGAGGTCTCAGTACAACTGCTGAGGTATCCCTTTCCAGTCATAAGCAGGGAGACTGTGTTGAGCCAGATGATGCTCACTCCAGCAGGCTGACTACAGAGTAAGACACCAGCTTCTCAAAGGGCACACGCTGCTTTCTGCCCAGAGTGGCTGCAGGACCATGAGTAGGGCATCCTGGGAAGGCAGTGCCCCGTACCTGGAGCCAAGTATACATCCACCAGAGTGACCAGGGAGCAGGTTTCTCACCTCCACTGGGTATGGTCCTTCCAAGGTTGCAGTAAGCAGGCTAGGAGGCAGCCTGGGCAGTCCAGGCTCCCCAGGGGTGGCGGCAGCAGCAGCAGCGGTAGGGGGTAAGGAGGAATGTGGTGGGGGACTAGGAGGCGAGGGCCCCTCAGTCTCCCGTTCCAGCAGCAGGGCAATGGTAGGGGAGGCAGAAGTCAGCAGAGAGACAGCATGGTCATGCCTGGCCTCCGTCATGTCCACTCCATTGATCTGTAAGGGCACACACAAGTCAGGGAGAGTGGGCAGAACAGGGTGCTGGGCAGGCCCCACCTGCCCCAGCTCACCGAGAGGACACGGTCGCCAACCTGTAGAGTGCCTGCCCGGTGGGCAGCACCCCCCTCAGCAATGCGGGAGATGAAGATGCCCTGTTGGGGAGGGGGTGTTTTGCTACTGGTGAGGCAGTGGGCATGGACAGCATGCGGCCCAGCCCATGGCATCTTTGAAGCCTCACCCTGTACCCAAGACACACTGCCTTACCCCATCGCCTGCCCGGTAGGGCGTGGAGCCTTTCCCCCCAGCGATGCTGAAGCCCAGCCCCTTCTCACTGCGCACCAGGCAGGCTGTGTGGCGCTGGTGCAGGGGCCCAGGAGCCTCAGGCTGGAGTAGGGGCAGCCGAAGGCCACCTCCTCGCCATTCCCGGGGACTGTAGTCATCTTCAGGTCGTAGAGGTGTTACAGTGACCGCGTTCTCAGGCTCCACCATGCGTTCTCGCCATACACGCATCTGTACGGCAGCACCAGCCCCCCGAAGTGCCTCCACAGCTTCATGGTGCTCAGCATCCTGCAAGGCCACACCATTCACCTGTGGGTGGAGGGGAACAGAAGCCATAGCACACATTAGCACCCAGCCCAACCCTGACAGTGTGCTGAGGATGCACGAAGGCTTTGCACATGTTCCCCTATGTAGAAGGGAAGATCAGGAGACCAGGATGCAGGTGGCCATGGGAAATAGGATGCTGAAACCCCACTCCTACTCCCACTAAACCCCACTCCCTTGGACAGGAGCTCCTAGGCAGAGGCTGGGATGGGAGCCAAGCACTCCCACCTGACGTGTTCTTGCCCTGAGCCCCCAGAGCCCGGTCTGCGCTGGTGGGAAGGACAGCCTTCCTGTAACTCTCTGACAGCCAGATGCTTAGGGCCACTCCCACACAGGGACTGAGCACTCTCAGAGCTGCTAGAGGTCTGACCGCTTCCAGGTCTCCCCCTCTGCTCTCGGAGTGGCCAGTAACCCTCACCGTGTGTCTTGGCCAGATAGGGATCTTCCTGGGTGCTGGCAGCTGCGCTCCATAACCTCAGCCAGACTTCTTGGAGGCCTCAGTTCAGAACTCTTAGAAGAGGTGGTTGAGGCACCCATCTCTTAATGGAGGTGGCCAAACATCCCAATAAGCAGGATTGTGCACACTACCCAAGGAACAGGTACTACACACTGGCGAGATGTCACCACTTACCTCAAGGAGTTTGTCACCCACTCGGACCCCAGCACGGGCAGCGGGGCCCTCCTCTGACACCCGAGAGATGAAAATGCCCTGGAGGACAAGTAGGACTGTCCATATGAGCCAGGCAGAGGCTACATAGGGGCCCTTGTCCTGCCTCATCTAAGAGAAGCCTGTGGGGGCTGGGAAAGCCCTGGAAGCCAC